CAGTTGCCCCGAAGGCATCCCTGGTCAGTGCAGGAGGTGGAGAAAGGACAGAGCCTCTTTGGGCAACTCTGAGAGAGGAGGCCTGTTTGCTTCTCTGCCTGCCTATACTTAGGGTAGATACAGCCAGAGGGCTGTGCCCACTGTGTGCTGGTTCTGAGGTGTCCCCTTCACTGTCAGGGTCAGAAATGCTGTTGCTTTGATGCTGTGCCCCAGGCTGAAGGGTGCGTTACACCCTGCTATTCCCAGGAAGCTTCCACGCTGTGCTGTCAGTGTGGCGTCTGCGGCTGCCTGCTTGCTGCAGGACCGCTGCGCACAGCTGTGTGCCAGAGCATGGCTAGACATGGGCCCTTAGACTAAGGATCACATTCCTGCCAGTGACTAAAGCTGCAGTGGGATTGCTGTTTTAAATGAGGTTATCAGTAGCTCTTGCATATTCTTCGCTGTCAAACCTCAGTGGGCAGGGCGTCCTCACTAACAGCTTTGAGCCAGGTATGTGTGCTTCCTCCGGTTCAGGTACACCGTGGCAGTGAGAATCTGGAGCAGTAGCAGAGCCTGAGTCCCAAGCAGTGCCAGGAAGCCCCCAGTGAAATCAGAGGGGTGAATCCACTGTGAGGTTTGGAAAAGAAACATACCCAGGCCTCCAGACAAGACTATCATCTTGATGATGAGTATGATGAGGACCGCCTTCCAGCCCCCTCTGTCCTCTGAGCAGTTCACATGTGCAACAAAAATGGGGTGGAAGAGGCTGAAGACCAGGCAGGTGTACACACAAACCCTGGCTAACATAAATCCTGGCAGGCTGATGCCCATCACCTGCAGCTGGGTGTGCTTCAGGCACTGCAGCTTCCCAGCCGTGTCATTCCACAGGCAGAAGTTGTAAAACCCGATGCGTTTGTCAGGGAGGTCGACCAGGTTCCCGGATTCCCACAGCAGTGCATAGCACAGCAAGATGATGGTCCCAGCAGCCTCGAGGAGGATCAGCCTGAAGAGCAGGTGCCTGGTGCACATCTGTGGCAGCAGACCCAGCCTGGTGCCCGCACACTCTGTTGATACCATGGTAAAGCCTGCAATGGGGACATCCACTGGAAAACATGAACAGGGGGACCCCTTGGTTGTGGCACATTCTGGCACCTTCCCAAGATGTGCTCTGAGCTGGTGGCGCTCAGGTCTCGGGACTCCCACTGCGAGTAGAGCAGGAGCGCCCCAGTTCTGCCTCTGACTGCCTGTGTGTTGCTGGGTCCAGGTGGGTGCGTTTTTGGTCACAGCGAAGGTGGCTTAATGACGTCCTGTGCGTGGACCAGCACTGGGAGGACAGTATGGCTTCCTTAGCCCCACACAGGCCCTTTCCACCACGGTCTCACATGGGACAAGAGAGGCGTTTGTCAGCAAACGGCAGTGATGGGAGGAGAGCAAAACACTGCTGTCTGATAAGGGGAGGGTTAAGAGCTATTCTGGGAAAATGCTTTTCTTTCAGTTCTGGTCAGGCAAGGACACCCCTTGTGATCTTTAGATGACTGAGTAATACGCAGGCGTGACAGGGGCTGAACTGCAGGGCTCCTCCTGCCCACCCTGCTTTCCCCCCACCCCCAGCCTCTGGGACACCGATGCCATTTATGCCAGTTGTTTCCAGCATCCAGGGGCCCTTGCATGCCCACACGTTTCTGGGCACAGCAGGGCTGATTGCTCACACCCCTGCTCCTCAGCGAGGCTGGCAAATGCGGTTCCTCTCTGTCCGGGTTGCCTGAGGACCGACAGCCCACGTGGACAGGTGGTTGTCCACCACAGAGAGATACCCTGGCCCCACCTGCAGCCACTCACCCTCTGCTGGGGCTTGGGGAGATGGGTGCTACGGAGACAGACCTGCGATTGCTGTCCTTGCTCCTCCCTCCACGTGCCTGGAAAACTGGACTCTCTCTCCCAGCAATGCGGACTGTCCTCAGTGCCCTCTTGCAGGCTTCTGCTTTGTGCTGAAAGAACGGGAAGTGGCATCAGGAAGGGGTATCACTGGCTGCAGAGCCACATAGCATTGCAGCACTGGCCACCTGGGTCTGCACAGGGGCACAAACACAGGACAAGGAGCTCAGAGACCTAGAGAGCCTTCAGCGTACCTCTCCCACTCCCTGCCTCCCTGGATGCTTGGTAGCAGGGCACCTGTGTTTAATGTGCACAGCCATAAAGCTTCTCTGTCCCAAACTTCCCCTCCCACACAGTCATAGGCAGGAGGAGTACACACACAGCATTGAAGGGGGTCACAGCATCCAGACACCGACCTGTCCCCATCCTCTGGTCAATACCTCACTTCCTGTAGCTTCCCTTGGAGAGACTGTGAGGTCACGTGGAGGATGCTCCTTGTCTGAATCTCCAGTGAAGTCATAAACGACCAGGAAAATATTCATGCTTGGTCCCAGGGCATGCTGCAGAATGATACCTCACGCACATGTCATTTCACCAGGGTTTATTTTGCCCCTGGTGCTGCCTCTCAGTTTGTCTGTCCACGTGCTCTCTGGCAGCCAGGCAATGCTGCTCTTCCTCCCTGTTCCACAGCAGCTCATGCCTGCCCACCATTCTCCCTGCCATCCTGCCTCACAGCCCTCAGAGGGAACACAAGCCGTGCTTGGAGGGGTCACTTGGTTAGCTGACCAGCTCCCCAGGGACTCCTGTGGGAACTCAGAGCTGGGAGCGGTACATCCCGGACGGGTCCTGGCCCTGCCCACCCACCAAACCTGGCTGTCATATTTCTTTAGACTGGTTTCCTGAGGAAGATAGGCTTGTTAGAAACACAGGCTTTTTTGTTCAATCATCTCACGCTAGCTTTTATTCTCCCCCACCCCCCCAAAATAGAAAAGCCATTAAAAATTGTCCTAGTTGCACATGTTTTCTATAGAAGGGACAGAGAATGAAGTTCCTAGCAGGCTCATGGAAATACATGGCAGGTGGGAAGTGAGCCACCTCAGCGACCCTGTGCTGCTGTGTGATCTCTGTGTACGAGGGCCCGGGGAAACCCCATGGTATCTATGCCATCTCCTCTGCTTTGAGGCTCATGCCTATAAGCACCTACTTTCTTTACCCAGTGAGGCCCCTCTGTTCACTACCAAATGGCAGCATTTGCCTCTCAGCCTCCTGCTGCCTCCCCAGCCCAGCCCAGCAGGTAACCCCCTGTCCCCAGATGTGGCTGACAGGGATGGAAACACGCCTGGTGGGGTGTCCTTTGCCAACTGGGGCAGGGAGTGCAGGGCTGGCCCGGAGGCAATGGAAGCTGAGACCTGGCATCCCGCTAAAGGCACTGGCATTCGTGAACTCTGCAGCTTGGCCTCGAGCCTGGTTTGGAGCCAGCCTGGCTGAGAAGAGGGATAAACAGGAAAGAGCTGTCACACCATGCTCAGCTGGGGCTTTTCTGAGACATCTGCAGCTCCTCCATTTCTCAGGAGTGCCTGTGCCTTTGCACGGGAGGGTCTGTGGCTCTGCCCCAAAGGTGCAAGAAGTAGGAAGCCGAGCGTGGCACAGCGAGCCCCAGCCTGGCCTCAGCCCCCAGCTCCAGAGCTCCCTGGGGAGTCTGTGTGCGAGATGGGGTTCATGGGGACCCTCTGTGCCCCCGGGACAGCACGGCCCTTCCCTCTGCTGGCTTCTAGGCAGGTGAGCACCTTCCCAGGGCAAAGGCAGCGGGACAGGGAGGCCAAGGCACGCAGCTCTAGCGCAGGATTTGGCCTCTGCAGAGCCACCGGACCCCGCTGCAGTGAACAGCCGGAATGCAAAGGGGTGTGGGAATGGGCGTTTTCTCTTGCACTGAAGAGCCCCACAGAAGACTTGGCTTTCCTGCATCCCCCATCCCTGGCTGCTGGGGGGAGTAATGCCATGCAATAGCAATGAGAAAGGAAGACAGCTTTGGACTCGGCACCCTTCCTTCAAGCCACCTGCTCTCCCCGGGATCCCTCTTTCCCCCTCAGACAGGATTGGCTGCAAGGAAACCACAGGTGAAGAAAGGCTGCTGACAAGCTAAGGATTGCAGGCAACCAGAAACCAGCTGGTGGCACATGGACCAGACTGCGGAGCGACTGCCTTGTAAGCACCCCACAGCTGGCTAAGGACCAGCTCCCTCCCGGACATCTGCACCCCGCAGCACCACTTCTCCTGGCTGCTCCCCCCTGATGCCAGCAGTATTAAAAGGGCCTTGGAGCCAGTGGAGGATACTTACGGGCTGCCCATCTGGCTGGAGAGGGCCGGGGGGCTGCCCTGCGAGCCGCGAGCCGGTCTGTGGCTGCTGCCAGGTACCAAGCCGTCTGGGCTTCTGACACCACAGCCCCGGCTGTATTACAGGCAGCTGCCTCTGCTTTCTGTTTCGGTTCTAAGGGCCATGGGAACCTGACACAGTGCTCCTCCCGGGTAGTGCGTCATCTGAGTATGAGCAAGAAACAAGCCGAGCCCAGCCATGGCTGTCCGAGCCAGGCTGGTTTGCACTTTCTTCTCCCAGCCGTGCTAGCTGGCGTGCATAGCTGACTGGGCTGAGGGACGTCGTGCTGCTGGAGTGGCTTGGGTGTCCGTGGGGGCTGAGGCGAGGTGGTGTTGTTTAGATGCTTCTGTAGAGGTGACTGACCGCCCCAGTGCTGACCCTGGTTCCGCATCGCTGCCGGAGTTCACCAACCACTCTGCCCTTCTTGCACTTTGAACGGTGCTCCCCCCACTCCGCTTCCCGGCCCTGGCTTTGCCGGAGCTCGCCCACAGGCACAGCACCCACAGGCACAGAGCGGGGGAAGTGGCAAGCTGCCTGCTGCGGCAGGAAGCCTGTGACCCCTCAAGTGACGTAGGGGGCAAAACGCTCCTTCCTTTAGCCCTCCTGGCCGGACCCAGAACCATCTGTCCTGCCCTCTAAGCAGCCTTGGTGGTGAGTCTGTTGTTAGAGAGGGGTGTGTTGGGGGGTGATACCCGTGGGACGCCCAGGAGGTGCCTTCCTCTCTGGCCCGTGGGTGTGGAGTGTTAGCGCTGGGAAGGACACGGATCAGGATTGCGGTGGTTCAGGTCACAGACGGCTTGGGCAGGGGTTAGGTGGGAGAAAACAGGGGCGGGGGTGGAAGGCTTGCAGCAGGACATAGCTGCAGGGCCGAATGTGGCGAATGGCGGGGGCGCAGAAGGAAGCCTCAGGGCTGAACACAGTTGCTGGGAAACTGAGGTATGAGCAGAGATCAGCGAGGTGAGACCTGCGTTCAGTGAGGACGCATGCGCTGGCAGGAGGCATGTTTGTGCCCTTGAGTGGTGGTCGTGCAGTTTAACCTCACGCCACTCGCTTCTCCGTCATTCATTCAGGAAGGAAAAGGGCATGTGGTCTGGGTCTGGTGATCAGCTGAGCAACCCCTTGGCTGACCTCAGTGCGACGGGCAGTTCCCTTTTTGGTGCCACAGGCAGGAGGCACAAACAGCTCTCTCCAAACATCCAGACTTTGCAGTGATGCCCTGTTTGCTGGGGCAATCAGGATGACTGCCACAGTGGGTCTGCTCCATCGTGCCACAGCACCTCTCCCTCGAGCCACTGTCCTCCTAGATAGGTGTCTGCTCCCCTTCCCGTCTCCTATGCCTCAGCCTTCCTGTGTGCCCCGTTTTCAGCTGGGATAATTTTCCTCCTAGTAGCTGGTACAGGGCCGTGTTTTGGATTTAGCATGAGAATAATGTGATAACACAATGATGCTTTGGTTGCTGATAATTGGTGCTTATACTAAGTCAAGGTCTTTTCAACTTCCTATGCTCTGCCATCAAGGAGATGCACAAGCAGCTGGAAGAGACCACAGCTGGGACAGCTGACCGAACTGGTCAAAGGGACATTCTATGCCATATGATGTCATGCTCAGTATATAAACTAGGGGCAGTTGGCCAGGGACTAGACCCACTTGTCCCTGGAAGACCCTGTAATGATGACTTGTGCCTTATATGTCTAATTTTTTGTCTTTATTACTGCATTTGGCTTGCTGCAATAAAATATGATTTTTCCTCTCATTTCTTATACAGTGCAATACAGAGGGGCTGTATGGGATATTTCCTTCCAGCGGTACATTTTAAGTATTATTTGAA